AGCACCTTGAGCTGTAGTTATTTACAGTGAAGGATGAAACTGAAAGAACTGGTAGCTCTTTGTAGTCGCAGTGTTGAAAAATTTAAAAGGAATTTCACAAAAATCAAGAAAAACATCAAACTTTTAAATATTCTGCTGTGAGTTTTTAGCTAAGCCTGGCTCTGCTACTTAATTCTCTCCTTGTTTGTTGTTTTCCTCTGAATCTCCCCGCTCAGGTGCAGATGAGGTCATTTCAATAGTCAGTTTTTGGTTTTGCTGCATTTGTCCTCTTATACTGCATGTCTCCACCAAACCATTGTTCTGTCTGCATCACTAGCATTCGTGTTAATTCTCTGCCTAAGCTCCTGACTTGAACTTGGCATGCACTCTGGTTGCCATGTTGCTGACCCAAATTCCGACTGCATTAGGAGAGGACCCTCAGGCTCTGATGTCTACCGTCAACAGGGGTTTCTGGAACTTGTGAAAACAGAGGGTTGCTTTGGTTCTGCCTGTGAGCAGATGTTAGGAACCTGCTCCTGTGTGTGCACTGCAGTTAAATTGTAAAGGTAACTATTGTAGGTTGATTTTAAACCAACCCGTGTGTGAAGACATTAACAAGGTACCTGCCAGTGTGGTGTATAGCTGGAGGTGGAAGAGAACCCTCAACCTAAATGTGGATTTAATGATCAGAAGGCTTTTGTTGAGGTGGGGGGGAGTGGCCCAACTCTGATTGTAGCCATTGTGGATGGTTGTCTGGCTCTGTGCTAAGCTTTTATGAACGTATAGGGATGGAGGTCTAATATATACTAGCCAGACTGGTAAGGCTATGTGGGTGAGAACCTGAATCTGTTGAAACTAGTGGCAAGGTTGTACTTGTAAGCAGAGTTGGGATTTTGTCCTCTTTGTGTCCCTTATCTTGGTCTGACACTGTCCTGCTTGTCCTTGTTTTTGCAGAACATCCAGAAGATGCTCGGTCTCGCTCCTTCCCGGGCTGCCACCAAGCAAGCAGGAGGCTTCCTTGGCCCGCCACCTCAGGCAGGGAAGTTTTCCTAAAGCACAGTTACAGCCTTCACAGGTCTAACCAGTGCACAAGACTGCCTTTGGGAAGTGACAAGATGGGATTCTGCACCAGGCTTCATGTGTCCAAAACCAGCGTATGCAGTATTGGCCACAGTCTTGGAAACATCTTCTATCTGGAGTATTTTACCAGCACTTGTTTGCTCATCAAACCAAGGAAGTTCTCAGAAGATAACTTGACCTTTTGTTTCTGGTGTTTCTGAGAAATAAATGGCATGGGCATGTTTATTTAGATGTCTCTTAATTGTGCTGTAGGACAAGTAGAAATACATTCATGTAGTGCAGCTGATTTAGTTCCTGGCATTGGAAACCAACTCAGATGCCAAGGGTGAGATCTGTGAAGTACAAAATTTGGAAAATTCAGAACGATCATGCTGTGAAGTGACTCTCTTGTCTTAGCCACACTGGCTATAGTCCTGTGTAAAGGGGAGCTGGGCAAGTAGGTGTGCTTAGTTCTCCCTTTGCAAAATTTCCAGCATGGAGGGTGAGGTTTTTCGTTGGCTCAGGTGGCCCCTGTGCCGGGCCGCCCTTGGAGGTTGCATGTATTTCTTGGTGTACTGTCAGCCTGTGTCTTCCTGGCAGAGCACAGCCCCATGGACGTTTTTGTGGCATTATACAGCTTCTGTAAAAGTTGCTTGCTTAAGCAGAATCTGCTCAATTAGAGAAACAAACCTGGCCTTCAAACCTGAGTAAACTGTTAAATTATGTCAGTACTGTCCACTGTCACTGAACCCTTTATTGCCTGAGTGGTTGTGACAGCAGCATTTTTGTTCATGCTCCTTAGCTTACTACTAAACAGACTGATGATCAGTATGCATCTTAAAAGGCTTCCTTCTTAGGCCAGGAAGCTCTCTCCACTGTCTTCTGCTTCACCAAATAACTATCTGGATCAGTCTTGTTGGCTGGAACCTGCTGACCTTATTTGAAAGGGGTGAATAAATCTTGCTCCTGCTCTGAAGTTAGGCTGACAGTTCTCCTGAAGCAGGCAGTACCCACAGAGGCTATTGATTTCTTGCTTCTGTGACCAGAGGTTTATCATGCGGTCCCTCTTACTGGGAGTTTTTGACTAGATGCATGGCAAGGGGATAAATCTGAAACACCTTATGGCAGTGTGGAGCAAGTGCAATACCCTATTAAATACTAAATATTGGGTTAATTCTTGTTAATAAGTATGGGGCACTTTTATAGGATTGTTTCAAGATAAATCATGAGTGTGGCATCTCTCAAATTAGTATTTGGCAGGTAAAGGAAAGCATCTGCTGTATGCTGATGCTGCCTAGCTCTAAAGTTGCTTTTTTTTCTTTTTTTTTTTTTTTTTAACTTACTGTTATGTCAGGTCTCACTACGAACTTCCTCAGGGAGCAGCCCTCCTTGTGTAATTCCCATTTCCCTTGTGCAGCCTCTCTTGGTTCAAGGGCCTGATCCTGCAGCAAAGCCAGAAACATCCCAACCTGTTACCTGCATGGGTCAGCTTTGTTGAAGTAGTTTTATTCTGCAGCATATGGTTGTTGGATCCAAGAGGATCCACCTAAGGCAGCCAGCTCTGATCAAGCATGATGGATAACTGCACCGTAATGGCTTGGGAAGGGTTACGTGCAGTGCAGTAACCTTCCCTGCTGCTGTCAGAAACTCTGCCCTCAGCACATCTGCACACATTGCATCACACCACGCTTCGTCACTTGGGGAGGGGAAGCAGTTGCGCATCTAAATGTCATCTGAAAATTATTGATCTCATGCTATATTCTGGTTGCTTTCTGCTGTCATTTGATACAGTAGTTCTCTGGGGGCTGTTAATCCTTGTAACAAATTGAGGACGGTGTTTCTAACCTCCACCACTAAATGGCCTGAATCCTAAGAATCTAGAAAATGGAATGAAAAATGAAAAACTACTTTTTGACCTCAGGAAGAGTTTGGTTTTGAGGAAGAAAGAATGAAGAACATCCTGTTTCATGGATAATTAAAAAAAAAAAAACTAAACAAACCCCAAAAAACCAAACCCCATATGTATATCCCAAGACAAATTGCAACTGTGGCTGCATCTTTGAGGAGGTTTAATTACTGCCAGCTGGTGGTGTGGTGGGTGGTAATTCACATGCTTTGCTGCTGCTCCTCTTCCCCTGCATATTGATTGTCTCGCACAGCTGTAGACCTGTTCATTTGCTCCTCTTCTAAAAAAGTTTTCTTTTTTGTCCTTTGCACAAATTGCAGCGCAGCCTCCTGTCCTGTCCCTGGCTGCAACAGAGGAACTTTTCCAGATGCTCTGCAGTAGGTGGCCGTGAAATATGCTCGTGGGCCTTTGCTTTCCTGCAGCTCTGCCTGTTGCTTGTGTGTGTCCACTCCATTCTTTGCAAAATCTTAACGATTAACAATTTGGACAGGCTGGATCGATGGGCTGAGGCCAACTGTACGAGGTTCAACAAGGCCAAGGGCTGGGTTCTGCACTTTGGTCACAACAACCCCATGCAAGGCTACAGTCCTGGGGAAGAGTGTCTGGAAAGCTGCCCAGTGGAAAAAGACCTGGGGGTACTGGTTGACAGCTGGCTGAATATGAGCCAGCAGTGTGCCCAGGTGGCCAAGAAGGCCAA